ATCTCTCCTTTAGATACAGATGATACCAGAGAAAAGCCATGTGGAACTTGTTATGCATTTTTCAAACACTATTATAGAGTTACAAAACAAGCAGCAGCAGGAAACTGTTTTTCTACCAAAAGTTTTGCACACAGAAGTTTTAGTGGCAAAATTAACTAGCTGAACATATAATGTACTTTTAAAGGTTTTTAAAAACTGTTGTGTCATCTTTTTAACAAGACCTGTAGTTACTGGATAAGGAGCAATGACTTTAAACAGGGAATGAATTTATACTGTATATTAGGAAGAATTTTTTTATATAATAAAGAAGATGAGGCACTAGAACAGGTTGCTCAGAGAAGCTGTGGATGCTTCTCTGACGTGATCTCTGAAAGTGTTCAGAGACAGGCTGGATGGGCATTTGAGCAACCTGGCCTGGTGAAAAGTGTCCCTGCCCACAGCAGGTTTAGACTAGATTAACTTTAAAGGTCACTTCAAACACAAACCATCCTATAATTTCCCCTCTTCTAATTCCCTCACAGCCATTTTAAACTTTTAAAATAAGTACCTCGATGTTTTCTCTTAAAGCTCTGTCCACAGCTGTGAGGATTTTTACAAGCATCCTCATTAACCTCTTCAAACACTTTCCTTCCCTACTGCTGTCAGAAACCAAAAAACATCAGCCAAATACAGTTTGTCTATTTTGGGGGGTTTACACCTATACACACACACTGTGCAGTTTTCACAGGATGCGTAACAAATACACGAAACGGTGTTTCTGTTTCCTGTGGTTTCTATCCTGGGCATGGATCTGTTGAGAACGCAGCTTCCTTGTCAAGCAGCTCAGCCTGCACTGCCTCACACTGCAGAAACCTGGTCCACAGCTTCAGACTGATAATGCTTTAATATTTGTTGTCTTTTAATTTAAGCTGCCAAGCTAAACCTTTAGTACACTTTCAGCACGTTCTGCAATCCTAGAAAACCTTGCACGCACAGCGTGCGTTGTCTTTCGGAGAGCGTCTTCAGACAGCTGCGCTCCCAGCAAGAAACCTACAAACTTTTAAAGTTTGGGGCACGCAGGGTCAGTGGCCAAAGCACTTCACCTCCACACTACGGGATGAGGAGCGACAGCTGCGCAGCTGGGACTCGTGGGGGCCAGGAAAGTCTGACTCTGCGGTGGCGGCGCGGCAGCCGCGGCGAGACTCCCGCGCCGCGCCCCAGGAGCGCCGCGGGCTCGCGGCCACCCCGGAGCGAGCGCCGGGCCCGCGGCCACAGCCCCGCGCCGGACGGGGGCCGCACTCACCGCTCTCCTTGCCGGCCGCGGCGCTGCCCGGGCGGCGCTGCGGGCTCAGGAAGTCGCGGGCCAACTCCAGGTCCTGGAAGTGGGCGAAGGGGACGAGGCTGCAGGACATGCTCCCGGTGCCGGCGGAGCCGGAGCCGCGGCCGCCACCCCAACCCGGAAAGGCTCGGCCGCTTCCCGCGGCCCGGCGCGGCCCCGCGCATGCGCGGCACGGAGGGAGGGCGGTGCCTTGGCGCTCCGCCCGCAGCGCCTCCGCACCGCCCCGCAGGGCTCCGGAGTGCCGGGTTTAATCGCGCTTTCCCTGAAGAATTTCCTCTCAGCGTCCGACCTAAGCTTCCCCTGCCGCTGCTTGAGGCCCTTTAATCTTGTCCTGTCGCTAGCTGCCTGGGAAAACAGTGCCATCGCCCACCTTCCCACAGCGCCTCTGAAGTAGCTATAGAGAGCTATGAGATCATCGCTGAACATCCCTTTTTCTAGCTAAACAACCCCAACTCCCTCAGCTGGATTTTACCATCTAGACCTAATATTGAACCAGCACAGCCCAAACCCCCCATGTTACTCTGATAAATAGAAAACACCTTTTATGGTTAGTGAAAACAGAGTTTCTTTCAGTCTTGATTGCTCTTGCAAATAAAAAGCTTTTATTTAGATTTCATGTCAACCCATTTCTATTCCTTCTCTGGACTCTGCAGCATCTGAATGACAGCAGCAATTATGATGATTGAGATTTGCTGTGGAGTGCAATTGGTACATGGCTGACAGCTGACCTGCAGCCTCCAAAACCTCTTCTTCAGGTAAGGAATAAAAAGAATGTATGGGAAGAACACCAAGGGATGTTTTCTGGACCCGGAGAAAATACAAATTCCCCTAAGTGTAAGACTTGATGAATTTTTAATGGATCTTACTTGACTAGCCTTTATATGCGTACACACACACACACATACATACACACACACACACACACATATATGTATATAAGAACTCTTTCTTGTTTTCTCACAGGGCTCTTTTATGTGATAGCAATGTGTGTCTTATGTAGCTAAAAGCAGACATAACTAAGAAAAGTAGAAATAACTGAGAAAGTTATTTCTGCAAGTTTGGTTTGTAGTCTAGGTCTTCTACATAGTCTTTAAATACCTTTTTTACTAAGAGAAGTTTCATGCCAAAGTGGGCTCCGGTTGGATAGTCCTAAAAGCACAGATTGTAATAGGTTATAAACTCCAGAAAATCCCTTGTGAGATATGCAAAGAAACTGGCTTTAATTTACCCTGACAACTTTTTAATGTCTTCAGCTGTTCTACTTTGTTTTAGTGATGTACTGGTTTAAAACCCAGTGGGAAAGTTAACCCCACTGAACTGCATCTCCTCCTCCACCCTCTTCCAACAAGCAACAAAACACTAGCAGGAGTCACAATTTTACTGAAAAGCTTGTTATAAATACAGTATCAATAAAAGAGAGCATAAAAGAGGCCTACAAGAGGATATTCAGCATGGAACAAACACAAACACTTCCTGAAGAGAGAGAGCCTGGCATTGTTTCTTTTTCCTACCTTTAATATAATTGCTTTGATATAGTGCACTATACTACCCTGTACTATACACTACTAGTAGTTTTAACTTTTATATTGGTTAAGATCTTTCATGTAATAATATGTCATAATGAATAATTCATTCTATATAAGATATACCTGAGGTGGCAGCAATGGGACTCTATGGTGGCCATGGTGGCTTTATCTGGGTGCTGAACAGCCATGCAGTCCCAGCCCCTTCCACGAGCCTGGAAAAAAGATAAGGAGCTTTCTTCTTCCAGCACCCCAGATTTCCTGCTGATACCACAACCCCACAATGAGGTAGGTGGTATTGAATTAAAGAGCACTAAAAACAACATCTGTCTTTTCCTCTGTACCCAGGACAAGTAATCAGGGCTCAGTAATTTTGCCCCTGGCAACTACAGGAACATTTTGTGTTTCCATTTCAAACCTGTGGCTCCTCAGGCAATACACAGGTTAGACTTGAATTTAAGCAGATGAAAAATCCTGTGGTTGTCCAATAGAGAGTTGTTCAATCCTGTTTTTCCGATCAAGCATAGAATTATGTGATGTGGAGTAATAGGAAGGATACTCTTCAAAAACAATGTCAGAGTGTGGGAAAAGTTGAGACACAAGGCTGGCAAATTTGCAGATGCTCTAAGAAAATTTAAACTATTTACTGACATTTTAGAATTGTCATATGCACAGTCACTAGTAATGTCAACTGAATTAATAAAGAGTATGCAAGAAACTAAATTAACAACATAGTTTGTCATTCTTTAATGAAGCTTTCATCACTTTATGAAAATTTTCCTCATTAGAGAGTAGTGAACAGTGTAAGACTGTCATATCCCTGCCTGGTTTGCTGTACATGAAGAAGTCAAGTTGCGAACTACCAAGATACCAATGAAAGCGTAAAATAAGGCAATGAATACTCAGCAAATAACCTGATATTTCAAGGCATTCTCGAGTACAGATAAACTCATATTAACATTTTGGCTACGCAATAACCCTTCATGTATTTGTTCAATAGATCCTAATTTTTAATGATTCATTATACATATATGGATGGCTACAGAAAACAAAACTACTTTGGAAAACATCTGACATAATTTTAAGTTCCTAAAGACATTCAGATAAACACTTAATAGCTAAAACTCACCATACATTTCCAGTAAGAATAATAATTTGCATTGGAATACATGCTGCTGAACAAAGGCCTTCATGCAGTTTACAAAAATAGATAATTAGGCTATATACAGATTTACACTATAGGAAATGCAATTAATGATTTGTTTGGGTTCAACACAAGAAATTACAAAGGGGAAAGTCTTCAAAAGGAGAGAGAGTAGGTTTAGACTAGATATTAGGAACAAATTCTTGACTGTGAGGTTGCTGAGACACGAACATGGATTGCCCAGAGCAGCTTTGGATGCTCCATCACTGAAAGTTCTTGCGAACAAGTTTCTGAGCAGCAAAATCTACTGCAAGGAATCCCTCTCTCCCAATGGCAGGGGGATCTCCAAGATCCCTTCAACCCCAAATCATTCTATGGTTTCTTGATTCAATGTTGTTCCTCCCTCCATGACCCCTGAGCCACAGATCCCCAGAGAGCCCAGAACATGGAACCCACCTCTCTGTGACATCAGCCCCGGGGCCGAGGGCTCCACGGGCAGCGCGGCTGCTGCGGGC